AATAAAGTTGCTCTTGTCTTTGCTAAAAGCAAGCCCACTACAACCGTGAAATTTAGTAAGGAATTTCATTAAAACTTTAACATTCTTAATGACACCATTCGAAAATAAAATGAAATCATCAGCAAAACTCAGATGAGATATAGGAAAACCTCTTATAGTACAAAAATTAAGACTAATATTCTTAGCAAAAAGATCATCTAAACCTCTAGATAAATATTCCATAGCAATTATAAAAAGAGCAGGAGAAATAGTATCACCTTGACGGAGGCCTTTGGAAGAATTGAAATAACCGTGATTTCTACCATTTATAATAACTGAGAAGAAGCAATTCTCAACACTATTTTTGATCAGCAAAATGAAGTTTTGATTAAAACCAAACAAGGACAACACCTTATAAAGAAAATTCCAATCTAGATTATCATAAGCTTTAGTAATATCCAATTTAAAGATAATATTATCCCCAGTGATCTTAGTGTTAATATCATGAGTAAGTTCTTGAGCAAGTAAAACATTATCACTAATACTTCTCCCTTTAACAAAGCCAATTTGATTCAAAGAGATAATTATAGGTAAAATATTAGACAATCTATTATCAATGATTTTAGAATTCAGTTTATTAAAAAAGGTATACAGGCTAATAGGTCTAAAATTAGTACTAGCATTGGCCCCCTCTTTTTTTTTGGAATAAGAGCAATATTAGAAGAGGAGAAGAATTTAGGATAGGGGGTACCTCCAAAGAAATCTTTCACAGCATTAATAACATCCCCTTAACAATCTCCTAAGATTTTTGAAAGAACTTGGTAGTGAACCCATCCGGACCCACCGTAGCATCACCATTCATCTCCTTAAGAACATTAAGAATTTCAATCTCAATAGGTATTTGGTAAAGTATAAAATTATCATCATCATTAATAAGATTAGGAATAACTGCAGGATTAAAAATAGGAGTAATATCAGAATGACTGTTACATATTCACAAAGAAATCCACACCAGACTTACAGATTAACTCATCCGACTCAAGAAGAATGCCCTCATTGTTCACAATTTTATGAATTTTATTTTTGGTCTTGTTCTTATTAGCAATAGCATGAAAAAATTTGGTATTTCTATCTCCCTCCATAACAAATTTAGCATTGGATTTTTGCTTCCAATAGGCTTCTTCTTGAAATTGCAATTGACATAAGACATTTTTAGTAAGATTTAAATTCATAATGTTATCCTCATTCAGATTATCAAGATAAACACCCTCCAAATCAGAAACTTTAGTCTCAGCTTCAATAATATTCGAGAAAATATTTTTAAAAACATTTTTGTTCCAAAATCTCAGGCATTGTTTCAGTCTAGACAGTTTAGCCCACAGCCGCAACATACCAGTGATGTTGTTATCCGGGAAAACAGGAGCATTTCAATTAGTCTCAAGCACAGCTTTAAAGTTATCATGAAGTAACCGCATATTAAGAAATCTGAAAGCAAAGAAACCAGTCTGACTAATAACATTAATATTTAAGAAAATAGGAGCATGGTTAGAAAGAGTTCTACTTAAGTGTTCCACATTAGTAGCCGATAATTGAGCCATCCAATCATTATTAAACAGAAATCTATCCAAACGTTGCCAGAGATTAGCCCTACTCCAAGTAAAAGGACTACCAAAGAAACTAATATCATTAAGATTACAATCATTAATCATCGAATTAAAATCTTTCATAGCTCTAATGTTAGGCAGGCTACCTCCCCTTCTCTCACTAGCATTAAAAATAATGTTAAAATCACCTCCCACACACCACGGGCCATTAATATTAGCAGAAAAGTTAATAAGTTGCTCCCACAGATTGATCCTATTAATTCTAGTACAAGCAGCATAAACAAGGAAGCAAAACAATTCACATTAAAAACATTAATATGATAATGAACAACTTGATGATAGTCAACAAAAATATTTAAAGAGATATTCTTATGCCACATAATTCATATTTTGTTAGAACAATTTGCAAAATGCATAGGAAAACCCAAAAACTTAGAAGTATCAACAATTTTTTTCGAAGTAATAAGCGGTTCAATTAAAACAAGAAGTTGAATATTGTAAATCCTACAAAGATTTTTAACTCTAATTTTGGAATCCCTACCACCAATGCCCCTAACATTCCACATTAGAGCTTTGATCATTGCAATCTTCTGAAGAAGTTTGAGCTCTGGTGGATCTCGGTGTAGCAGGACACATATTCTTATTTTGTTTACCTTTTTTCTTACCACCTTTAGTAACCACACCATATCAATTTTTTGACCATTCATAATAGGAGAAGAAAAAGAAGTACCTTGTTTAGTAAGAGAAGAGGCAACTAAATTTGAAGGAGGAATAAATTCTCCTTCCTCATAAGAATCAAAAGAAGCATCAGCACCATTACCCACCATCTTACCATTATCCTGTCTAAAGATCAAAGCATTCTCAATGGCCACGGAATTAGAATTAATAGGCATATCATCTAGCATATCATCAATCAAAATAAAAAGCTTAGGATCAGTAGAAGTTTCAACATTATTATCATATAGCATAAGATCTTTTTCAGAGTTTAAAACCAAAATAGACATATCTGGGACACCCACCAAATCATGGCCATATTCCTCAACATTTTCCACATTGTCTTTACCAATTTCCACATGATCATTTTGACTAGCAGGAGGAGGTTCTACCTGAATAACATTTTCTTCCTTATTATTATCCACGATTGGCACATAGATTTTGTTATTCTCGGCAGATCCAAGCCTCCAACTAGCTTGAACCGCAGGTTTCTTTAAATTCGGGTGAAGTTTAAAACAGTCAATTTGGGCATGTTTAATAACTTTACAGTGAGTACAAAAATCTGGAACTTTCTCAAATTCAGCTTTTTACAAATAGCCATAACCTTTGGAACCAACCCAAACTTCCTTTGGATGTTTTTTTTGAAATATTCACTTCCACAAGAACTCTAGCAACAGAAGGATGGGTCTGAGAGGCAGTAGCTTGATCCGTTTGGAGCAGCCTCTCGAAATTTATTGTTTAAGGAGGAAACAAAATGTAGTTGCACAAATGATACATCCAATATTATTATGATAGATTGGAATTATCTCATATAGCAAAACGTAAGAGGTGATCTCATAGCTTTGAAGGCAATAATGAGAGATAAGGTGACGAGATAGAAAATGTAAAGTAACTTGGTCTACTTTGTTACATGAGAAATTCCACCAAACTTGACTATGAAGATTCTTTTTAGCAAACATTGGTTGCGTCACCTAAAAAAAACTTCATAGTCGTACATATGACAAGCCCAGGTTACATTGATCTATGATGGCAAAATTACATGTCTAAGTATTGCATAGGAAGTGTCCAATCATCTTATTATTTAAACATTGAATAGGAGTGTCAAAATTGGGTCTGGTCAGGTTTTAGGTCAAACCCGGAATTAACCCGACCTGACCCATCAGATTTCCAACTTACAACCCGGACTCGACCCATCGGATTTCCAAGTTAACACAACCCGACAAGAAATAGTTATGAAGCGCATGGACTGCGTAAGGCGGAGGGCAGCTGGCGAAGTCGCACACGGATGGCACGCGAATGGAACTCTTGTCAAAGACCTAAAGCTCTCGTTGAATGGCGGAAGGTGGACGCCGAGGACCTTGGAGATCTCGTTGAATGGAGGACGGTGGAATGGACACTGAAGGTGGACGGCGGAAGGCGAAGACAGCTGACGAAGCCACACGTGGACGGCGGCGGGTAGACGACGTGACGTGAGAGACGACGCGAGGGAAGACAACTAACGCGACACAAGTTCAAAAGGGTCAATTCCGATGGAAAACGACTCGACGCGATGCGACGCTATCTAACGTGAGTTCCTCCAGGCCAGAGGACTCAATGCGACGTGGGTCAGCCCGGGTCAATTCTGAGTTAGCGGGTTAATCCGGACCTAATCCATTTTTTTCAAACTAGTCAAATCATGGAACCCGAACCCAAACCATTTTCGAAATGGGTTGACTCTAACCCAAAACTTTTGGGTCGGGTTCGAGTTAGGTTTTCAGGTCGTGTCAAATATTAACACCCCTAGCATTGCACAAGTTTTTTGCTTTTAAAAAGGTTAACCAAGAGAGAGGTTATGCAATTTTGTTATCTTAATTTAAAATTAACCAATGATTAATTTTATCTCGCCTAAATATTGGGATAGAAGTTATTTGACATGCTAAGAGGCTAACGAAGATAAGTCTAAGCTAAGAATAATACAATATAAGAAACTTACGAAAAACATGCATTTTCTAAGATTATCAAAAGTAAGAAATCAATTGAAAATATTTTTAAATTACAAAACTAAGAAAGATCAGTTCATTGTGTTGAACACCAAAAAGATTACTAATATAGGCGGACCTAACATCTCGTTTAATTGTATATGGAATATCAATTATTATGAAGACTATCAAAATATCACTCTATCAGCACGCAATATCACTCTATCAGCACGCCCTTTGACACACAATAATAACATTAATTATATCACTATTTTTTTTTTTTATAATTTTTGTCTGCAGTTAAATATATCTTCAAGCGGAGAGCCAAACAGAATCACACTAGATGTCAAAGGGTTAAGTTTCATGAAGAACAATCTTCACGTGTTACAACTTTGATGCTGCTGCAAACTTTCCACATTACCTACTTTTACCCGACACCAATCCCCATTTCCCGAGTTAACCAAGCGCGATATATTGGGCTCTATTTCATTTTCTTATATATATGCGCATACATTGAAATATCTGGCTGGTTCCTTTCCCTCTCACTATCTCCATCCACCAAGGAGTGGCAGGGGCCAGGCAAAGAAGGCCCATCTCTCTCTCTCTCTCTCTCTCTCTCTCTCTCTCTCTCTCTCTCTCTCCACAAAACAAACGCATGTTCTCACAATAGAACGCTGCATTTAATGATAACATCTACATATACTACTATCTAACCCACAAAATGTTCCTAGCTGACCTAAACAAATCCAATATGTCTTCTCTTCTTCTTCTAATCCTCATCCTGTCCCTCACTACTCATGTTTGTGAAGGGCGGTACTTAAGCTTCAGCAGCATCAATGAACTCAATATACCAGCTCATCATCAAATCAAGGTAAGTTTAGCCTTCCAGTTAACTACCACATAGCTTTAGCAGCACCCCTTTTGCACCACTTTTGATGATTATTTATATTGTATGCTTCACATTTTAGGTTGTGGCCATGAAAATGAAAGACAATAAGGTTTTGGAAGCTTCGGAAATGAAGGATGATAAGGGAAAACAAGAAATGGTTTCAGGTTTAGTCTCCTCTTCTGTTAAGGCTTGTTCCCGCATTACTCACATCAAACACAAGGATCAGCATCCAGGGTTCAACGTAGATTATGTTGAACCAAAAACTCACCCTCCCTCTCATAACTGAAGCTGTTCACCTCGTCTCAAAACTCTCTCTCTCTCTCTCTCTCTCTCTCTCTCTCTCTCTCTCTCTCTCTGAAGAGTAACAGAAATTCCAGTTTTGGTACCATACGTCAATGTGAAATGTTGCAGTTTAGTTGTATTTCCTCAAAGTTTTGCAATCATGATATGGCGTTAATTACTTCTCTATAAATGAAATTATTGATAGTATTGGAATGTGCAGGAAGTACTAGTGAGACTCTCATTCCTTCATCTCATGCTGCATTACTACTAGAAGTTCAATTTAAGGTAAGCTTTGCATACCAAGCAATATACATCTTCTTCCTTCTGTTGGTCGTCCGAGTGAAGGGTGTGTTAGTAGAAAAATTAATGCAAAAAATTGTTAATGGAGAAATTAAAACATAATATTCATTAGGATGCATTAGAGTTGGAAAAGGGAGCATTAACAAGGTTGATATATAAGTAAAACTGGTAATAATTGTATGAAGATGCTACTGATCAAAGTTAGTTGATGTGTTGAGTGGTGCAGAAAGCAAAAATCGTGATGAACTTTGTTCTTATATATGTAGGCTGGATCAAGTAATAAAGATGGATTGTTTGTGAGGGAAGAATCTAAGCATAAAGAAGAAAAGGAAGAGTTTAACCACACTGGCGTGGAGACCGACATCGGGTTCATGGATTACCAGCAGCCACACCGAGGACCTTCAACCCACAACAAATAGAAAGCTATAAGGCCGTCTCTGCAACTTATACGTATTCCTGGAGGAAGAAAGTAACAGAGCTAATACATCATATATAATCTTTTTGTTTGTCTCACTCTCTTATAACAAATTAAGGCATGAACAAATGGATTAGATAAAAATGAAGAAATGGTCCTCATTCTACGTCGTTGTTGAAGAACGTGGTGGTTGTCGATCATAAATGAAGGAGACGGTTATCTGTTTGCTTTGAATGTTCATGTCTTCAATTAACTGCTCCATATTGCTCTGACCTTTCAGAGCTTCTTGTCCAGAGAATGTTCTAATATTTATCTTGTATAAGTGTTTCTGATTAAGATAAGAGAGACAAATTCGCCATTATTAGGGCTTTCCATTTTGGCTTTAAGTAGAAGATGGTTGCTCAACATGGCAATAAGAAAACTGTGACAGGCGATTAATTAATGATTTCAGACAATAATTAATCAACTTGTCATTGGTTGTCACATTATTTGTCTGCTAATTTAATGAAGCCTCAATCTAGTTTCATGCACCACCTGAATAATAATTGAATATTGCAGTATCGTTTAGACATACAACACATTAGATCATCTGTTACGAGGAGAACAAATTAATTGAATAAAGCTTGCTGTTTTGTGGGTCTTCAAATTTCAGGCAGGGAAACATGCCATCTTATGAATATATATATTATAAAAAATTGTTTCAAATTATAAAATTAATAAAAAAATTATATCAAACGAAGCCTACCAAGAAGCAAGCAGTTAAACAAACATGCGATAGCAATTAAAAATTTAAGCACCGAAAATGTTGCTATAAACAAATCTGTTTTAAGCTCTCTATTTAAAACAGCTGAAGTCAATTATATACAATATTAGTTGCAGAGTAATGATGAGAATTTTGTTTTTTTAAATTATTCCCAATATTATACATTTTCTTAAATCAAACAACAATTTTCATATAGTTCCATATTCTAGATTTAATTGTAAAAAAATATTTTTGATTCAAATAATTTCTAAGATTAAATAACATAATAGTAGGTAAATACTCTTGTTGCAGCAAAGTATAAAGCAAACTAATGAAAAAACTGCTCCAAACGAGCTTGTTTTTAGTAACAGTCAACACCGAAGGAAAGAAGAAGTTCACAAGTAACTGAATAGCATTTACACTGCCTGAGAGATTATTCTGTGGACACCGGACACAACTTATCGTTCAAAGATAAATCAGGTGCAGCCATGCCATCCAGCATCGAGCACTACCGAGCTCAGTACCGAGCCGCGGTACCGAGTAGGGGGTGACGTGGCACATTTTCATTAGGCTATGGACGACGTTCAGCATCCACACAGAATAATTCATCTAAATCAGGAGGAAACATATTTCATCAAAACATAAATTTATCATGATGTGACTTTACTTTTTAATTTTTATGAGATTGGTGAGTGTTGAAGCTAAGGAAATTTAAACAATACCTAATTTATATACATAAAATACATAGATAAGCTATGAGAGAAGGAAACACTCAAAAAATTCATAGTATCATGAAAGATTATAAAAAAATAAGATAATGAGTTTCTCATTAGTCGACATATTTGCTATGCATTAATGTGAAGCCCCTTGACTATGAGGCTCAGTTATATTGTTTTTCTGACAAATCAGACGGCTCATTCAAGTATAAATAAAATATCTTAAATGAATGAGCAGCCTTTATACGATAGAAGTTTGGTACAACAAAAAACAATCATTTGAATATATCACTTTCCTCAAAAACACAGCAAAAATTCTTGTCTCCCTTACTGTTATTGGGTTAACTTTACTTCGATCAGAGTAGGGGTGGATCTATATTAGGGGGCCCGGGGACATGGGCCCCCACTGCCCAATTAAAAAAAAATGTGTTTCTTAAAAAGCTTATAGAAATTTAAATATCTTAAATTTCTAATAGGAAACCTAATAAGTCGTAGATGCATCTTGTACCTAAAATGGCGGGGCCAATTAACAGTCAATAGATGTCCCTTGTCATCCGTCCATCAGCGTTATGCTCGCCATCATCTCTATCTCTCTCAGCACGTAGCACGATGTCGACTCAAATAAATATTTAAAATGCCTCTAGTCTAACGGGTGATTTTAAAATGCATTATTGTTATACAAGATAATTTCAAAATATAAAAATAAGCATGCTTTGATACATATGCATATAACACTTTAATCATTATAAAGTATATTAGACATTGAATTTTCATTCATGATATTTTTTAAATGTCGGCCATTAATAGGCGGCATAGGCCTACGTCCGTCCAGTTCGATCAACTGATAAGCTCTTCCTTGATACATCTTCTCGATGACGAAGGGGCCTTCCCAATTGTATAAAAATTTGTCATTGATTTTCGATGTGGGATGATTGACCTTCTCAGCACCATGATTAATTCCCCTTCTTGAAATGTCTGAGAACGCACCATTCGATCAAATGATTTTGTCATCCTCGCACGATAAATTTCCAAATTCTATTGAGCTTATAGTTTGACTTCATCGAGCGCGTCGAGTTATTCTATTCTCAATCGAGTGTTTTTCTCTTGAGTCATATCGTATTGGATAGCTACACTGAGTGATGGCAGCTTGATTTCAAGTGCCAATACAGCTTCAACCCTAAACACCAATAAGGAGTGACTTTGGTCGGCATCTTGTAAGTAGTACGATATGCCCATAGTGCATCTGTCATCTATGTGTGCCACTCTCTTTTGTTCTTGGTAAGGATCTTCTTCAATAATTTTACTAACATATCGTTAAAAACCTTCGCCAAACTATTGTGATGAGTATGGCCAATTGATCTTGTATCTCTTGACGAACTTGTAGATTTTAGAGCTCTTAAATATTGTGCCATTGTCTGAGATCACTCGGTGCGGTACACCAAATCTATAGACCACATTATGGGTGAAAAAGTTAATCACCAGCTCAGACGTGACTTCTTTGAAGGGACTTCAGTTTGATCTTGAAGATCAACTAGTTGGGGAGGTTGAGAATTAACCAGAGTTTTATCCTACTGATTTGAGCTTGGTATTCCTTCTTCATGTAGGAATTATAATAATGCTGGCTCGAAGACCCGACGATTGTGCACCATAATTATTATAGGTCATTCATCTTCTATATTTATTATTTTTTTAGTCAATTTGGCAAGGCAATCGGCTTTGCTATTTTGGGCTCGGGGAAATTGAGTTAATTTAACAACTAAAAATTACTTCATAAGTTCAAGAACTCTCCGATTATAAAAAGCAAACTCGAACTTGGTGATCTTGTAAACTCCTAGTACTTGATTTATAATAAGTTGAGAATCACTGAAGATTTGGAGATTCTAGATTCTGACATCGATTACAATTTCCAGTCTTGCTATTAAAGCTTTATATTCGACATCTTTATTGATATGAGTTTCAATCAAATAAAATGAAAATCTTATTATATCTCCTTTAAGTGCTATAAAAATGAGATCGATGCTAGCTCAAACTCTTGAAAATATTCGGAGGTCAGACAGGTTTTATTGAGGAAGCCCCTTCAAAATACATCTCCTAAAATTATAATTTCTCTTTTTTCTCAACTTGCATAATTTATTCATCACACAAATCATCATTGAGTGGAGAGTCTAACGGGATAGAATGCACGATGAGAAATCTTCTAAGGATTGCCATTTCATCACCTTTTGTAGTATGTACATGATATCAAACTGTAGTAATAGTATTGCCCACCTAGCTAGATGACCTATCAATGCTGATCTTGTCATCAAGAACTTCAGTGAATTGAACTTTAATATCAACATAACTTTATGAGACAACATGTAATGACAAAGTTTCTAAACAGCAAAAATTAATACCAGATAATGTTTCTCAATTGGAGAAAAGTGAATTTATGCTCTGATCAACCTCCAACTGATGTAATAGACTGTATTTTCTTTACTTTCATCATTATGTTTGGCCAAGAGTGCTCTGATAAACTCTTCTACTATTGTTGTATATAGTATAAGAGGTTTCCCCAATAGCACTACTAGAATGAGAGGATTTAATAAATATCTTTTTATGTTAGCGAATACCTCCTAGCATTCTACATCTCATTTGAAGCGAGCATCCTTTTACATCAATTTAAAGAATGGTTGGCACCTGCCCGATAAATTCAATAAGAATCGTCAAATGAACGCCAGTTATCCTTATAAAGAGAGAAGTTGTCTGAGATTTCTAGGATGCATCATCTTCATGATTGTTTTTATTTTGTTGGGATCGATCTTGATTCCTCGGTGATGAATAACGTACCCCAAAAGTACATTTGAGAGGGTTCATCTTCAAAACTAACTTTTTGATTCTCTTAAGTATAATCCTTAAGTCATCCATGTGGTCTCTTTAATTCGATCCATGCTCTTGACAACAAGATTGTCCACATAGTACTCGACTTTTTAATGTATTAGCTCATCAAATATACGTGTCATTGCTCGTTGATAGGTGGCACCAACGTTCTTCAGGCCGAAGGGTATGACCGTGTAGCAGAAAATACTGATAGGCATTCTTAATGATATATGTTTTATATCTTCAGGCGCCATTTTAATTTTGGTATAGTCTGATGATCTGTTCATGAAAGAGAACATATCATAGTTATAAGTGTTGTCATCTAGAAGCTTTGATATCAGGAGTAGAAAGTCATCTTTTGGGCATGGGCATGCTTTATTGAGGCCCCTAAAGCCGATATAGATATGAATCTGACCGTTCTTCTTCTTTACAGGGACAATATTAGCGATCCAATCAAAATATTTTTCTTCTTGAATGAAGCCTACCTCTATAAGCTTCTTCATTTTTGCAATCACATATTTTTTATTCTCTAATCTCATTGTTCTTGGAGCTAACTTGATTGGTGCTGCAGCAGGTTTGATGGCAAATCTGTGAACTACTATATCAGAAGATAAGTAGATATTCAGCGTATGTCCAAGCAAAGTAATATTTAAATTCATAGAGAACTTTTATTTCTTTATTTTTCTCTTCAAGCAAAAGAATACTGATGAAGGTTGGGCTGAAAGATCGTTAGGGATGTTAAGCCCTTATGAATTGGCCCAAGGCTAACAAAGAGAGAAGTGAATTGGATAACTTAAAAACCAAAGAGAAAACTTAAACTAAAATCACCACAAAAATTAAGTGCGGAAGAAAAATAAATGCGGAAGCGATAATAAGAAAAGAGCATTTATAGTGGTTCGGTTAAACCTTGACCTACGCCC